TGATTAACAGAGGAGTCTAACCCTACAACATCCTGTCATGTACTTTTCTCCAGACACTGTGTCCCCCTTGATGTTTCTGCAATAGTCCAAGCAACATACTTGTGATGGTTAATCTTAAATGTCAATTTGACTATATCTAGAATCAACTAAAAACCCAAGCTTCTGGGCATGATTATAAGATATTTTTTTGATCAGATTATTAAGTGGGAACATCTATACTAAATCTGGGGCAGCCCATATAAATGGAGATGGAAGAAGGAAATTTTTGTTTTGTGGCTGCTTGATCTCACACTCTCACTGGCAAGCCCATCTATCTTGTTGCTGAGGGAGTCCTTTGCTGGTATTAGAACCTACTTCCTTAGGGTACCAACACAGACTGAAGGCCAGATGAGACATCCAGTCTTGTAGACTGAACAACTGTAGAATTTTCAGCCTTTTGGTAGTAAGACAATCACTGTTGGACTAACCAGATTACAGCCTGTAAGCCACTCCAAATCCCCATCTATATCTTTATATCATCTCTCTGTGTCTCTCTCTTTCTCTCTGTCTATCTCTATCTCTCTCTGTGTCTGTCTTTATTCTCTCAGTTCTGTTCCCTTAGAGAATCTAAACTAATAAAGCAGATAAAGGCCCCTGTCTCCCAGCTAATGGCCTGAGTTTGAACCCTATTCCTCATGCTGGATTGCTTTGTCCAGCCTGAATACAGGGGGGAGGTGCTTGCTCTTATAGCAGCTTGATATGCTTTGTGGAAGCCCATGAGAGGCCTGCTCCTTTCTGAGTGATTACAGAGGAGGTGTGGGTTGGGAGGACAGAGGGGAGGAGGGAAAGGAGAGGCTGCGCTTGGGATGTAAAATTAATTAATAATTTAAAAAGACATAGTTTTATTTTATGTATGTGAATATTTATATGTCAGTGTATTATATGTGTTCTTGATGCCCAGAAAGTCAGAGGAGGCAGTGGATGCCCTGGAACTGGAGTTACATATGGTTGTGAAACACCACGTAGGTGCTGGGTTCTAAACCCAGGTTTTCTGGGAGAGAAGACGGTGCCCTTAACCTCCGAATCATATCTCCAGTCCTGTGCGCTGTCGTATTTAAGGGAACTGGACTTTTGTCCTCACTGACTATGCTATTTGAAACATATTCCATTATCAACATAAGTTTTAATATGTCATCTTTATTGCTTCAGTAAAATAGCACAAACCATTCTTCTATTAGATTGGAAACCATTAAGAATCGGGCATAAAATGCAGCATTATTCTTGTTCTAAGAAGCAGGCACTACTTCACACTGAGAAAGTCTGTGCAAACCGTCAATGTGTCTAAAAGCTATAAAAATTGTTTACACTTTGAGGCAGCAATTCTACTTACAGAAAATAATCCCAGAGGAAAAATAAACACATCTACAAAGATCAATGTAATGGAACACAGCATGGCATTTTCTAAGAATAAAGAGCTGAAGAAAAGCCAAACACAGGGAAGTCCTAGAGACACCTGAAATCTAGTGAGATACCACGCTATGGCATGATAGCCTGCCTAAGTACATACAGCACAGCCTGCTGATTCCTTTATGGAGTGGGCGAGGTGGCCAGGGAGCCAGGGGGAGGCTAGCGCGGCTGATGCGGTTCTGGAAAGATTATAAAATGGAGCAGACCTAAGTCAGAGAAGGAGCCATTCCTGCTGACCCATCCTCCATGGGAATGTTGAAGTTTATAGTTTATAGTTTATAGCGGTTGGAGGAAATGGCATAATTCTCGTAAAGGTATGAGGTTAGGGTCTCTGATAACTCAGGCGAGCCAGTGAGAGAGTGTGTCATCTGTGAGGACATACACATGACCAAAGGACCTCGTGCTGAGTAAATATGGAGAGACTAAGACAGTGCTGTGGGACTCAACCCAGTTATAGAATATAAAGTGACTGGTCTTATAGAAAAGGAAAACAGAGTGGCAGACATCAGAGGCTCGGAGGGAGGCTAGCACAAGACTGGGCAGTGGACTGCAGATCTGATTGGTAAGGACAGATGCACTTTGTCTTGCTGTTTCATTGCAAGATGACTTCATAGCCACAATCTATTATGCATTTCAGAGGAACCAGGGGAAAGGACTTTGGAGTGGTCTTATTACAAAGAAAGCATGGGCAGTATGCCAGTTTCTTCTGATGTATGTGACAATGCACGCAAGTATGAAGAACACATGTCACATGTGCGCAGTTACCTGTCAATCAAAAGCCAAACTTACAAGCATAAATTAAACTCTACTGTCTACATAGGGGGAAGAGTAATTCATGTAAATCTTTGTAAAGCTCCCACCCACTTTCATTTTTCAAGGCAGTTTCTCTGTGTAGCTCTGGCTGTCCTGGAATTCATTCTGTTGACCAGGTTGGCCTTGAATTTAGAGATCCTCCTGCCTCTGCCTCCCTGAGTGCTGGGATTAAAGGTGTGAGCTACCTACCACACCCAGCCTATAAATTTTATCTTAACTCTGGCAGTGCTGACTTGTTAATATTAACCCGCAGATGTTTCAAAACACACATTGAACATCAATATCTGGTACTACGAAAAAAAAAAAGATCAACAGCATATTGTTAACTGGAAAATTAGGATTACAAACCAAGGAGGATCACGTGATCAGATGCAAGAAACCATATCTGTACATATCTGCTACTGAGGACCATACTGGCAGACCTGATTAAAAACAACAGCAATCGTTCTATGGTTTCCTTTTTTTCTCTCCAATAATCTGAATTTCCATGGGGAGTTTATAAATGAAAAAGATACTATGACTTAATGTGCATATCAGTGATGGGAAAAGGTAAAATGAAAATGTGGGTTGTGGAGTCTGTACAGAGTGTGTTCACAAACAAGACACAAAGACAGATATGGCAGTAACAGGGCTCAGAAAGTCCCCAAAGGGGGAACAGAAATATCAGTTAACAAGTAATGCAACAATCTTAACACAATTAGTTGTCTAAATAAGCAAACAAAAAGGGAAAGCCATTTTCACTCACAAGTGTAAAGATAACACAAGGAAAAAGATCTTATCTTTGAAGAGAGAAAGGGGCACACATTCTGTCACTGTTGGGGGCAAAGTCCGTTGGATAAGACAGATAAGGGCCTTCCATGGAGTCTTGCTAGGCCACTTCTAAGAAGTCACCTGCACAAAACAATTAGTCTCATAGACACCGAAGTGGATGAAAGATTTATTTCAGGAGTACAAAAAGTCTGGAAATAGCATCAGGAAGAAGCAGAGGACATGTGTGAGTGGCAACATTAAAAATAATTTTGACAGTAAATGTCAAAGAAAGTGTTCACACTATCCAATATGCTGCAGATAGGAGCTAAATCAAATTTGTTCTGTTTGTCCATTCCAATCTAATAATGCAACATGGGGCTCCAGATATGAATAAAAATAAGTCTCAGGGGATGAAACTCAGCAGCAGTTTTTATCTTTCAACAAGGTAACTCCCACAGGTGGAAGAAGAAGTACAAAAGGGAAGGGTGTTTCTTTTTCTTTTTATTTTTTTTCAAGGTAAATCTTTTTTATTAGTCACACAATTTTAAAAATTATTAAAATTCTATTTTTCTTTGAACCTTCCACCCTTACAGTGCAGAGAGCCCCCCTCTCCTTGTTTGCAATGGAACTGGGTTGCATTTTTTTTTAAAGTAAATTGAAACCAACATGCTACCTGAAGCATTGGTAATATTTAAAAAATCAACATGTTACACAAAGCACTGCTGATATTTAAGAATCCTACTATTTAAACACATGTCAACATGGGAGGCGGTGACGGGGAAGAGACAGAAATCTTTAATAAATAAATAAATTAAAAAATGAATCGAAAAAAAAAGAAAACAAAGTAGATGTTCTTAAACACATACCAACCATTTGCAAATATGCAGATGTTTTAGGAGCCCCCCCAACAATACACCCCTTAAAGTAATTTTTGAAACAAGTATAGAAAATTGAAGAAAGACCAGAAAGAAAATGATGTCAAGGAGTTTCTAGAGCTCTTTTTCTTTTTAAATGAGTTCTCTTGTTCTCCTAATTACCACCCGAAGCCCCTCTGCTCTCTCAGCCCATCTATACCAGGAAGGTGATGGAAACTTTACCATTTGCTTTTTCCTCCACTGTGGTTGTTTTCACAAGGAGAAGATAATTTATTATAAAAAGAAATGCCTAGAATGCAGATTGTAGTTAAGGGACCAGGGAGAAAAGCAGACTCTTGATGATTAAACATGAACAACACATCTTCACTGGCTGGGGAGATCATGACTGACCGGCTGTTCATTTCTCAACAGACGCCTGGTTCTTGGTGTTTGGAGGAATAAATTACAGACTGTGAAGACAGAGTTTCCTCATTTGGGATGGTTGGGGACCTTGCCTGGAGAAAACTGTATTGTGAATGGAAATGATTTTCCTCATGTCTAAAATGGTATCACCTTCAGCTTCCACAGCACACATTGCAATCTAACAAATGCTCACTATGTGATCTACCAGCGAAATGAGCCACCATCCTTGTGAGGAGGTGTTAGGTGTGTTAGGTGTGGAAGCAGGAACACTGATCACTTACAGAAGCACCCTGGGCTGACTATATGTAGGGTTCTACCTTATCCCGATAAATCTAAAAAGCCAATTATTTTAACTTTAGTTCTCTAAAAGCAGAGTGCCAGGTATCTAAGGAATAATTTCCAGCAATGAATAATTCCAACACTGGGGCCCCACTCCTTGTATTTGTGTTGGCAGGAATCTCTGAGTAACCCGTAGTCATTATAAAGATGGGAAGGTATATTTTACTGGCGTTGAAAGCCATTCCAAGAATACGTTAGGGGCACTTCCGTGATTTAAATGATGAGGTCTTAGGGATCCACTGTGGTGTATATGAGATGGATGAGGGGGAGACAGAATGACATATCTGCCTGCAAAAAACATCTCTGAAAGGACAAGTATTGTTGACAGCATACTGTGTGTTTAGCATGCGATAAACAGTTCAAGTCACTGCATACCTTTTGAGAACTTCCACACAATTGTAGGCACAGGATAACCTTCTGCAGAGCAATTGAGAATCACTGCTTTGCCATAGATCCCATCCTGGTCCCGGGGTTGCACCACAAACTTGGGAGGAACTGCAAAGAGAAATGACATCATTCAGACAGGGCCACTGGTCAAAGCTGTGATCTTATGAAACAATTATCTCTGTAAACCTTCAAGTAGAAGAATTGTCACACAAATACAAAAGCAATAGCCATGTTTGCAGCTCAGACAAGTGGGGGAAACAGTGTGGGTCCTGGAGGGTCATCTACAGATTGTTTTTAGTGAAGATTTTGTTTTGTAGTAGGGAAACTGGTTTTTCATAGATGCAAGGAGCATTGGCCAACCCAATGGCATGTGATACTCAAGACTGTCAGGAATTCACTCCACACAGAATAGAATAATGGCCAATATATAATGAGAAAGTAAATTATATGTTCCCCAAATTGTACTTATCAAGGATGAGTGTTTCCGTTGTTAGGAGCTATTCAAAGTCTTACAGACTTTCTGCTACCAGAAGATGAAAAAACTGACAAGCACTCCCCAAAGGTAGCAGAGAGCATGGCATGCTGATGAACTTTGCCCCAGACACCCCACCAGGACATACAAGCCACTCTTCCCTATAAGTCAGAACTGGGCAGGCCCAAAGTAGAACCACAGAGTTGGTTAATGGGAGGTGCCAAGATGCCTCTGGTGTACCCATGAGATTCAGAACCTGATTATGTAGGAATTCTGTGAGGTGCTGGGTAGATCAATCCCAGCATATAGCATACTCAACTCTCTACTGACAGCCCAATGCTTTGTGCTAAACTACTAGGTTAGTAGTGTGTGAGTCTTAATGAACAGGTCAACATTCTTCTAGAAATGGTGGCATCTGACAGTCGTCTACTGAGTATATGTACAGTACACTGGGGATCCCCTGTGGGGTGGACTCCTCGTGTGATAGCTATGCACTGTGAGAGAGATGGATTGCATCCACTGGAGATTAAACATGTGGCATACAAAGGGTGTTCTCTTTCTTCCCACACCTGAAAAGATTTATCTTCCTTGCTTTAGATTCTAGAATTCCCAATATTGAGGTACACGTGTGGACCTCGGTACTTCAGAGAGGTAAGAATTCCAGGTAGCACAAGATATAGACTGCGGAGGTGCCTAGGATCTCACTGAAATAAACAGTTTAGAAACACGCTGGAAGGATTCAAGCCACAGTGGAGACCAGTTGGGTCATGAAGTAACCAAGGATGAGGGAACCATATCAAGAAAGAGAAGCAGTTGGTGATGAATCTCAGGAGAGAACAACTCCTTTATCCATTTTTTAGTCCAGTTTTTTTAATTTGTTTCATTTTTAGTTTTGTTTTTGTAGAAAACATTAAACATGGAAAGGTGACAGTGGCAAGGAAGAACACAGCTCAGGATGAACACATCAGTTTCCAGTTCTGTTGATTCTTGCATTGGACCTTGTGTAGATTACAAGGTGGCTCAACTTCCTAGTACATACATTAGGGATAACTGTGGTACCCACGACATAGGACTGTTATGAGGAGAAGATGAGTTGAGGATCAGAAAGTTCCGGACTTTGTGGGAAGAAAGAAATGACTCTGGGAGCTGCTTCCTTTAGTAAACTCAGATGCCTGGTTTTGAAACAAGCACTCACATAGCAATGGGATCTGGAATATTTGTAAACTGCTCAGCAATTTTATGTCATGTAAGTAACATTTTGAGAAAAATGCATTTGATCATATGTATTTGTACTTGGAATAAATTCATAAAAGCCAATGCCTTAAGGCCAGGAGATTATTCCTAGGAAAATATGAGAGATTACACAGACTATTTTTTCTCTCTCTTTGTCTTATTTCTTCTCTCCCACCTCTCCTTTCTCCTTCCTACCCCATCTTTCCTCCATCACTATCTCTCTTCCTACCTTCCTTTTTAAAAAAATATTTCTTTTTAAAATTTATATGTATGGGCATTTTGCCTGCATGTCATGTGTTCAGGGACCAAGGAACTAAGAAAAGGGCATTGGACCCCTAGAATTGGAGTTACAGGTGGCTATGGGCTACCATGTGGATGCTAAGAATTGAACCTGAGTGTTTTGGAAGAACCAGTATTCTTAACTGCTCAGCCACATCTCCAGCTCATGCTGTTAGGTTTGTTTATTTATTTATTGTTTTATTTGAGACAAAGTTTTCCTGTATAGTTCAAGTTGGTTTGAAACTCTCGACCCTCCTGCTTCTTCCTCTCAAGTTCCAGGATGATAGGGGTACCCTCTCATGTACCATCACACCATCCCCAATTTTCTAATAAAAGTGATCAACAACCTTCAGGGTCGATGAAAAATTAAAACAGCATACTAGACTCATTTTCCATGGTGTGTGAGGCAAACTGGCAGCTAATTCTGCCAAGAGGAAGAGCTGCTTTTTTACCAGATGAGACACGCAGCTGGCACACGCTCAGCTACCGCTCATCCATGACCCTTTACTCAATTTGGCTCTAAGCTAAAAAATTCTGCTTAAAAACTCATCAAAGATGTCTATATGGGATATTAACACATGGTAAGTACAGTGTAATTACAGATGGAAATGGTCCCTGATTAGTAGAATAATTCTCCGATGTCGTTACTCAAGAATTTCCCACATACTGGTAAGGATAGCTCATGGGTTCTCTCAGTAGGCTTTTCTCTCTCCTCATAGAACTCCCTCTTCTGAGTCTCACAGTGATACATGCTTTCATGAAAACAAATAAGCAGGGTTCTGGATTTTTATGATAAAGAGAATAACCAATGAATGCAACTTGAGACAACATGGAAGAAAATATATACCACTGAGCTCATAGCCAAACCATATCCTAACCTTTCCCATCACAGGGAGATTGGGAAACTCCTGGGTTTGAGGTGGAGTCTCAGAGTTTGTTTCTCTTATATCTCCTTGGTGATACCGAGGCTGCTGGTATCCGTTCCACATGGCTCCTTAGTAAGAATGAGTGTGAGCTGACCATGATAGCAGCTCACTAAAGCAACTTCTACTGCCTTCTGTTTTCTTTGATCTTAACCTTCCCTACTCTCTCTTACTGGGGATGCAGGATTTACAACCCAACTAAGTGATCTGCAGCCAGTTCTGATGACAGTCTGCTCTCAGGAGAAATGCAAATAGTAGGTGAGGGCAATACTGTCTCTTAACTTAAACAGCCTCCATTTGTCACTCCTGTCACCAGTGCCCCACTTGAACCCCTTCTCCATCCAATGACGTAAACGATACTTGGAAAACCATCACAACACCATGAGGTATTGATCATGCTCATTCTCCTATGCTGCTTTGTGGGCTCTTGGAGAAGTTCCCCTGCAGGCTTTTCTGAAGCCATTCCAGAGTTCTTCCTGTTCACTAGTCCCTAGGATGGTCTTGCTTTTGGTCTTCACTCTTCTCCATGCCTCTGTTTGGTGTGTTCCTACCTGCCCTGGCTTTATCTCCACTGAAAGTTCATCCCTTCTCTGAACCCTCATCCTTACTTTTGGTACAGTTGCCTGGTATTGTTTCTCTAACTGACTGTCCCTCACAGGTTCTGCACCCAGTGAGAACAGACTCTTTAAGTACAGGATTTGAATGCTATTTTGATCACAGGATATTCACTAGGCTTAGGGGAGATGGAGGCACTTCTGGTAACCACATGCTCCAGCCCAAAGGTTGTTAGCAACTTACAATGCCTAGAAGTCACAGGGGAATTCCCACTATGTATGAATGAGAAGGTCAAGGTTCAGAGAAGTCACCCATGTTTCCAAGCTCACTTAGACAATGCACATACAGCCGTGTGGGTCTTGTCAGCCTACAGAAAGTTCAATTGTGTCTACACCCTCTCTTTCTTCGTGAACCTGACTACATATCAAGGTCCATGGAGTACATTCCTCCATGAAATCTGTGAACATATCAAGAACATCAATCTCCCTGCTATCAAGGTATGTTTTGCTCCTGTAATTAATAGCCTGTCACTCCAAGACTCTCCAAACCGCCCTCTCAGTGACAGGCGATCTCAAGACCTCTAAACTCCTCATTCTGTTTCTATGTTTCCCACTCCACATTTCAGACCAAGATTTTAAAGCATATAAGACAGAGACATTTCTCAATTCCAGTGAAAGATTAAAGTAAAAGGCACAGAGAAATTTGATATACTATTTTAAATGTACTTTCATGTGATGTATTTCATCAATTTAGTATTTGCATCCTTCATGAACCAAGCACCAGCTTGTGTTCTGAGGTTAATAGTCAAGGCCCCGGTGTGCAATGTGGAATGTTCTCTGGATGGTGTCAGTGGGCAGAAAGAGCCTTAATGTCACCTGAAAGTTCTGTTTTCATTTATTCAGTGCAAACTGTGGCTAAAGCACTGATTAAAAAGCCCCTGACTTACATTGGCCATTTACATCAAAAGCTGGAATTTTGAGCACAGCTGCACAGTTTCCAGACCACAGAAAAGGGCTGGCACTCAAAGCGGGTGTGAGCCTGGAGAGCCTGCCCTTCCTCAGCTACTTTGTATGAAGGTTAGAGAGAATGGGACCATCAGAAAGCCAACTCAAACAAACATCCAGGACAGTGGTGCACTGGCTGCTCTCTTGGGAAGGTGTGTCATCAACCCTTCACACACAGACCTGAACATAACTGGTCACCAAGGGCAACAGAGAAACTTCTGCAATGACCCTGATACTTCCTGCAGCTACCACCTGGGTTCCATGTCTCTGCTTCTCATGGGGAGCAGGAAATTTCTGCTGTAGGCCTCTGTACTCTCCAGCTCACTTCTTCTCAGAAGGTGATCTATGCTTCTAATTGATTCCCATGGCCTTGAGACTTTCCTTAGGACCCAGGACCTTGAGTCAAGTCAACCCTGCAGCTAACCCTCCACACAGATTTCAACTAGCACTTTCTGCCCTGTGCCACCTCCCACCCTCAAAGTTAACAGGCTTTCCAGAATACATAGTCTTTTTTGCTGCCATCCTACTTAGTGGCCGTTTGCTAAAATTTCAGGATTCCATCCCCCTATTCCCCTTAGGAATCGCTACATGAGGCCCCTAAGCCAAGTCCCCTAGCTCTCCTTCCTTCTTCAGTGACTGCTC